CACCTCTGCCCGCGGCTTGGCCGCCTTGCAGCTTTCCTATTTTTGCAAGGATGACATGGGTGCACAAGGATGTTGGCGCTCACGGCTCATAAAAAGGAACCATGCTTAGTGCCCCATGTTAGCGTTGCTTCCAAACGGCACTCAGCAGCCATAAATTCCTCAGGGTGCCGTATGTGACTTGCTTTCGGCATCAAGGTGTGAGCTCCATCCTATCTATCTCTGCAAACGCAGATCTCTCGGCTTGAAATTGGAATTTCTCTCTTTGCCAGTGGGTTTAATAATCAAATGTTTCAGTAGGAGATGGAAAGATGCTGAGCAACGTGGCACATTTCTATTTCTAGTTCTGGGGCAATGCCCAAATTTTCTGTTGTCCTAGCACTGATTCTCTGTTCTCTTTCCTTCTCCAGAAAAAGAAAAGATAATTACCCCAATAATTGTGTATCCAACGCAAAAGACAACATCAGCTGCGCTTGGTAAGGCCCATTATTTTTGGAATCATCTAATCAGAGACAAATTAGAGCAGTTCCTCTTAAGGTGTAATTTGTTGGCATAAGTTGTTGCATTTCTTTGATTTCTATTATATTTGTAGAGGGTCAATGCTGGAGTATTTTTTCCTTCTTATTGTCTACAGCTAGATCCTATCATTCATGTAGGAGAAGCTACAGAAATGCTGTAGGTTTCAGCCACTAACAGAGCAAGATCAGCTGCTAAGAGTTGCCCTTCACTAAGAACTATTTATTTTCAAAATTCCCTCACACTGATCTATGTTACCTGGTGGCTTTGAATGAGCCATCCAGCTCTTTTGGAAGGAGACATTTTTTCATTGCTTTTTACTGTTTGAACTACACAGTTGTTGCTAGTTAGAAAGTACATTGATAGGATCTCAAATTTTCTTTGGAGATTATATCATGGTGACAAATTTCCATTGCATTTCCTCTTCCCAGAAAATGCTGCTGTCTCCCACAGCATTCTCCCAGATAAGCTGCTGGCTCATGGCTTAGACAGGTGTATTCTGCCCTGCGTAAAAAACTGGCTGGATGGTCGAGCCCAGAGAGTTGTGGTGAACGGAGCTAAATCCAGTTGGCCGATCACAAGTGGTGTTCCCCAGGACTCAATTCTGGAGCCAGTCTTGTTTAGCAACTTTATCAGTGATCTGCATGAGGGGAATTGAGTGCTCCCTCAGTAAGTTTGCAGATGACACCAAGCTGGGTGGGAATGTTGATCTGCTTGAGGGGAGGAGGGCTCTGCAGAGGGACCTGGACAGGCTGGATTGATGGGCCGAGGTCAACTGTATGAGGTTCAACAAGGCCAAGTGCTGGGCCCTGCACTTGGGTCACAACAACCCCATGCAACGCTACAGGCTTGGGGCAGAGTGGCTGGAGAGCTGCCCAGCAGAAAAGGACACGGGGGCATTGGTTGACAGCCAGCTGAATATGAGCCAGCAGTGGGCCCAAGTAGCCAAGAAGGCCAATGGCATCCTGGCTTGTATCAGGAATACTGCAGCTAGCAGGAGCAGGGAAGTGACCGTGCCCCTGTACTTGGCACTGGTGAGGCCGCCCCTCCAAATACTGTGTTCAGTTTTGGGCCCCTCACTACAAGAAGGAAATTGAGGTGCTGGAGCGTGTCCAACAAAGCTGGTGAGGGGTCTGGAGCACAAGCCTGATGAGGGGCAGCTGAGGGAACTGGGGTTGTTCAGCCTGGAGAAGAGGAGGCTGAGGGGAGACCTTATTGCCCTCTACAACTGCCTGACAAGAAGCTGTAGCGAGGTGGGGGTTGGCCTCTTCTCCCTGGTAACGGGTGATAGGACGAGGGGAAATGGCCTCAAGTTGCACCAGGGGAGGTTTTGATTGGTTATTAGGAAAAATTTCTTTACTGAAAGAGTGGTCAAGCATTGGAACAGGCTGCCCAGAGAGGTGGTGGAGTCACCATCCCTGGAGGTGTTCAAAAAACATATAGATGTGGCATGTCGGGACACAGTTTAGTAGGCATGATGGTGTTGAGTTGATGGTTGGACTTGATGGTCTTGGAGGTCTTTTCCAACCTTAATGTTTCTATGATTCTATGATTCTATATTTTACACTAAGCATTTTTAACTTGGCTGTGTCCTATGATGTCTTAGTTTTCCCTGCCACTTTTCCTTCCATCAGCATAGGACTACCAAGTCTTTTTATTTTTTTGCCTGTCTAACACTGTCGAGTGTTTTACATCCCTTTTATCACCAGCTGCACAGACATAATAATAAAATTGTATGCATTATTAAGCCCTGTATTTTCCATATAATATAGATATGCACCAGTCTGAAGGCTCTTTATCCTTAGTTGTGAGTTACAATAATTAGAGCAAAATTTCTGAATGTCCTTGCCCACAGCACCTCTGAGTGAAGCTACGCTGCTGGTTAATGCAGTTGCTCCAGAGTGGTAAACCAGACCTGGCCCTTTGGGATGCAGTACGTCAGAAGGAGCAAAGCCACAAGAACACAGCTTTGCCTCCTGAGGAATGTGTCTAGTGCAAGAGTTGCTAACTGTTGCAGTGGGAAAAGAATTTGGTTAGCAGCGGGAAGGATGGCCAAACTGAAGGATCTTGCTGCCAAGGAGTAGGGGATCAAAAGCAATCTGGGGCTTAATTTCAGTTTTGAATGGAGTGGTGCTTGACGTGTGGGGGAACTTGATCTCCCACTGGAGATGTTGGTATTCAGCAAGAGAAAGAGTAGTTCTCCATATGTATCCAAATGGGTTTTTAATCTTTCTTTTGCCAACAGGCTCCAAGATGACTCTCCCGTGCAAAGTGTTTGTTGGCCTGAGCAGAAAGCAATCTGGGGCTTAATTTCAGTTTTGAATGGAGTGGTGCTTGACGTGTGGGGGAACTTGATCTCCCACTGGAGATGTTGGTATTCAGCAAGAGAAAGAGTAGTTCTCCATATGTATCCAAATGGGTTTTTAATCTTTCTTTTGCCAACAGGCTCCAAGATGACTCTCCCGTGCAAAGTGTTTGTTGGCCTGCCCAGCCACATCCATACCGATGTGGAATGGCTGGCGAATGACACCACCGTCAACGTCGTTTACAAGCAAAGCAGAGTTACAGAGGGGGAACGACAGTAAGTCTGGCTGAAAGTGTTTCCTTGTGCTTGTTGTTTTAACCTGCAGGGTTAAATCCCTGTTACAGGGGCTTGCTGTGCAGCTGAATGCCAGGTAATGAAATGGGATATGGACAGATCTGAAGTGGAGAGCTGAGAAAAAATCAGGCAGGCAAGCAAAAAAGAAAAAAAACCCAAACCCAACCCATGCAGTGTTAAATCAATTCTTTATCCCTGGTTTTTATTCATGGTATACTGCAAATGAGACAACTTTGAGGCTGAAACTTGAAGCACATTTTCATGAGCAGCTGAGCTGATGTAAGAGCTGACTGCAGTGGAAAGCAATGGGACCTGATCCTTCCCAGTGCTTCTCTTATCTCTCCCCTTGCCCCGTGCCAGTGAAACAGCAACATCCTCTCCCTGACATTCATGAGGTTCTATAAACACACTAAGACAACAGAAAACTATCCAGTGGTTTGTTTTTTTTTTTAAGTATCATTTTTTTCCCCTTAGTGTTGTTCTTTTCCACTTTATTGAGTTAAACTGACTCACACTGATGCCCAGTGAGCGCTAGAGCTGGCGCCGGGGAAGCCCTGGGGGGGATGCTGGTGGGCGGGAGAAGCAGGATGTCCCGCATCCTCTTGCCCTGGTCCATTGTCTCTCCTCATCTTGCAGAGCCTTCTCTCAGCTCCCTCGTAGCTGTACATCTCAAGGCTTTTCCAGCTCCCTCGTAACTGCATGCCTCAAGGCTTTTCCCACTAGGAAAGGAGGGGCAAGATCTGCTTTCTGTACCTGTTACATGTCACCTGAGCAGCGCTAGCTCGCTATGTTCAGGCATGTTCCTCACGCTTTAGCAAAGGTGAGGTAAACCTACTGGCTGAAATCTCTTCATTGAGGTCCAAGTCAGCATGTTTTATCTCTCATTTCATGAAGCTGAGAGTGTCCACAAAGATCATCACCCTCACCTGGGTCATGGTGGCTCTGCCTGTACTGGTGGACAGAGCTGGGAACGTTCCTGAGCTCTGGAATGCCATTGCCTCTGCTGTTAGCTGTTAAACTGGTCACTCACCAGCTAGCACCTTCCCAAAGAGCTCCTGGCTCTCAATTAGGATTTAGCATGGGGCAGCGACCATTCCCAACAGAGTTTGGGGATGTGGCATCCCTATTTTGAGGGACAAGAGCGTTTAACAGTTATGGAGCTGCTTTTGGCCATTTGTGGCCATCAGTGCCAGGTAACAACCTGGCCAATTGCACAGCTATGGCCAGAGGTAACGTGGTAACTGCCCAAGCTATATGTAATGCTGTATGCCCAAGCCCTTATGCGTTTTCACATTTCCCACAGCATGACTGAGACCATTAATTTACAGCGTTGTTTACATGGATAAGTGACAGTGTGTTCAACCTAAGGTCAGGAGCCATACGTGTACTGTGGCTATAGTCTCTGTAGGCTTTAGAACAGAGCAGCACAGGCACTTTCTCACTTGGACTTTAAAAATTACTTTTATTATTACTACCAGTATCATTATTCCTGCTATATATTATTATACAATTGTGTGAGGACAGGGACCGTGCCAGCTAGGGCTCATGCAGAGCCCACGGTGTGTGAGACACCCCAGTTCTCCTGGAAGCCCTCAGAATGGCAGCAAGGCAAACCAGGTCAAATTCCATTGGGAAAACAAATCCCCCACAGAAATCTCTGGCAAAGCACCCACCTCTGTGTTGCAGCCTTCTTGTGGTACAGTCCCAGGGGGAGTGAGCGCACAGGGAATTCCATTGCTGCAGCGCGTAACAGACCGGTGATCAGATCATTAAAGAGCAGCTGGACAACTTCTCCAGCAAGGACTAAAAGATATCAAGAGACAACGTTTGACTGCAGCTAGAAAACCACTTTTAAATAGTTCGTCTGATGAAACCATCAGGTTGAAATTAGCTGGAAACTTCCTAGACAGTTTCTCGTGTTGAGCTTGTGGCTTTGGGTGTGTGATAGGCAGGAACGGTGGTTCAGTTCGCTGAGTGAGCATTTGCAGGGCTATGTTCTCCGTATGTCCTCTTCCAGCTGATAATAAGAATTGATCTCAGAAACGATTAGGTGGTCAGAGAGAAGGAATTAAATCCTTCCACGATGCTGTGTAAAGACCTCAAATATATACAGAATTCTGCTTGCCTTTCTTCCCTCCCTTTTCTTTATTTCTGCAAGACAAATCCAGTTCTTTTTTTCCTGGAAGATTCAACAAGTGCAGGATGGGTACTGACTGCTGAGACTCCAATAGTTGGCACAACTGGGCTGGAAGATACAGGTGTCTAGTTCAGAAATGAGCAAACATCCAATGCATTTTCTTGGAATATGCTGTTAGAATGAACACAACAAACAGAGAAAAGTCAGCTTATAAAAGGACTCAACATTAAATTTTTCTTTTTCTTCCAGAGAAATTGTAGAAAATGGTGAAAACTTCATTGAAGTGCCTCTGATTTTTGATTCTGTCGAAGAAGTGGATTTTTACACAGACTTTACGTGTCTGGCCCACAACAGATACGGATACCAAGTACTGCCAACAAGGGTCAAGCAGGAAGGTAATTAGTTTGACTGCTTATTTGCGATAATTGTTATCATCCAAGCCTGCCAAAGCTAGTATTGGGATGAATTATTGCCTGGGGAAAAACTGGTTGCCTCTTTCACGTGTAGACTTTGGAATAGCCTGTTCACAAAACACTATTTCTGCGGGACATTCAGTGACATTTTCTGCAGGGATAAGGATCTGTGCTGATATATCTGTTCATTGGATAGGGCTCAAATGTAGAAACACTTTGTGAAATGGTGGCTCCAAGGAGACTACTGGCAAACTCCCATTGGGTGCAGCAGGGCCAGATCTGCTCCAGTTCCTCAACAAGTAGGAAAAAAAAAAAAGACAACAGCAGATAAAAAAGCAGAGTGTTCTTTCTCTTCATGCACAGACTGCCACTAAAATAACAAGAAGTGTAAATTATGATGGGTGTTGTTATTTTGGCTCCTAGTGATGGGAAGAGAAGCCCTAAGCTCAGTGCAATTAATGTTGCAGTGTGATAGACCATTGGCCAAGAACCAGCTGTAAAAACAATGTGAAGCAATGCTCATTGTTTCTTTGCATGACGTTGATGAATCACCAAAGCTTGCTCACACTGTCATAGAAAGGCTCACGAACATTTACAGTCTTCATTATGAGTTATAACTCATGACTCGCTCCAGCATCCTATGATGAGGGATATGTACTCATTTGCTAGATGATGTGCTGCCCTTGTCTTCCACGAGCTACACAGGTATTACTACAGAGGAGGCAATCCATGAACCAGTATAGGCTGGAATAATCCAAAATGGTCTGGACGGACACTGGACTTGGAAATTAGCTGTATCTTAGCTAAAAGCTCAGAGTCTTGGCTTGATCATTAGTAATTTATAGGCCGCTCTATAGGAGAAAATTATTGACAGAGCTTGAGGGCAGACTAGCTGTTACATACTCCCTTTCCATGCAGTGCTTTTATTTCCTGCTTGGAGTGTCTCTGCTTCCACCAAATCAAGATAGAAAACACCTAGCTGCTCTGAGCAGTGGTTGGGAAGGGTCATATGTATGCAAAAGGATTGAAATTTAAATTCTCACCCTCTGTGGTTTTCCAATTCTTCCTCCCATCTCCATAAATCCATTTCTCAGAGCGCTCAATCAGCAGGCCTCTTCCTCTCACAGGTGGTCAACCCTGCTGGAAGGTTAACTTGCAGACATCCTTTTTGTTGTGACTTCGCCTCTTCCTCAGGGAACTTAGAGAACGATATTCCTGGGAGGGGTTTTTTTGTAAATATTTCATTTCTTTACTTTTCCAGCTGTTGGCTTGTCCTGGTACGTTGCAATGATTCCTGTCGCACTGGCCTGCGTGATCCTGGGGGGGATATGCATACACAAGTGCTGGAAGCAGAGAGACAACAAAGGATACACAGCAGCAAAGGTTTAAAATCTGCTGTATTCTTCAGCTGCCAACAGAACAAAAATCATCCTGGCTATCTTTCACGTGAGACACAGGGTGACATTTCAGACCAAACTGCCTTCCCAGCGGATTGATATACCAGCTGTTTTCCTCTTCTCCAAGTCTTCTACGATCTGATTGAGTTATAAATATAAGTTTGCATTTTTATGCTGCCTAGATGCAGGAGACCTGCTTCTGTTATTTTGCAGCCAGGGTGCAATCTTTAGCATTTTGGAATATAGAGCACCAGGAACATGCCCTGGATATGGGAAGGGTAGGGAGAGGGAGGTGCTCTTCCACTTTGTAATTCCAATTGTCTTATT